TACTCACGCATTTATTGGCTTTTTTACGGTAATGCAATTTCCTGCTCCAGTTGGATATTTTTATTGGCTATATATGGTATAATAGGAGAGAAAAAAAAGTCTTGTCCTTAGTGAAAACATTCATTGATTTAACATTGAACTTCTTAAAGGTACACTTTAATTAGAAATAAAAATTGAAGGGAACCTCTGATGTAATTGTCTTCAAATCACCTCTTGGGATTGGGGAGGAGGGCTGGAACTTTGATCCAGGCTGTATAGAGGGGCCTCAACTTCTCTGTAGGCTGAGAATAAGCCGTATCCCCTTTCTGTTCTAAACCCTGACCAGTGCCACTAGTAGTAGTTAGTCAACTGGACTTGTTCTGCAACATTAAAGATGTTTCGTAGCTTATCCAAGCCCAATCACCATCAAATTGGAACAACCGTCCCTGAACAGGGGTATGAGCCTTTAACACCATGTGTGTTCTACGTATAATGCCATTTGAACATCTCTACCCTTGTGATTTGACAATAATTCACACCTTCAGCCATGTGAGTTAAAAGATTAACACCCATGCAGACTTCCTGAGGGATAGGTTTGGATGGGATGGTGGTATGTAACCAGAACAGGGTGGTTCCACACCTCCCTTCCTGTTCTTGGACAATCAACATCTACACATTCCATGGTGATTGGTTGAGTCGCCTTAATCCATAGGATTAAGATGACTCTGCTACCTCTGTAGATATAAATGCTGGGTTATGTTCCTGACACTCGTTCTTCACAGTACTGAAGAATAATTGGAACTGTTGAAGTCAACAGCTCTTCAGCCTAAGCTTCTGGTCCACCCAGATTTGCCTTAAGCAAGAGTACATTTCTCCAGTTTAAATACAGACAGGAAACATGAGCCAGTCTGCTGTCTTGTAGTCCTGAGAGTCCATGGACTCTGCCTGAGACATATTTCCTAGCTGCCCATTGGAAAATACAGAATAATTCTTAAAGGAAAACCGTACCTTTCTTAAGGGTAGCAGTACTCATCACGGCTTCCAGCAGTCCTGCAGAGTACTGCTCTCTCATAGGTATAAATAGGGCCACGGCGAAAATGCGTAGGATGAAGAAGGACCCAGCAGGGACATTTTCTGAAGCAAGGCGGTATGGGCAGGAAGTAAGTATTTCTCTAGATGGCCTGCACTCCGGTGGGAAAGCCCATGTTTTATAAGGATGATGTGTACCAAAGGTACATATTTGTCCTTTAATATGCACAAAACTGTTTTCTAATTATGTAAATCCTGATCATTCACTGTCTTTTTATATAAAAATATTTTATACAAGCAGATGGTTTCTGGAATCACATTAACATTCCCTAGAGTTTTTTAAGCTTGTAGCTCATAGTTAAAATGTGCCGATAATGGTGTATTGTACTGAAATCATTATGCATGTATTGGCATTAGAAGGACCCCTTGTGTCCCTTGTTAATTGTTGAAATTCATCACTCCACCTGTCTATGTCAAGCAGCTTTAGACCGTTTGAGCACAATGGATTATTCTGAAGCCTTTATAATCATGGGGAAAATGAAAATGTTACATAAATGCCTAAATTTACAGAGCCTAGAAACAAAAAATGTGGCTTCTTTTTACAAAATAGTTTTAACTGTTGAAGTCAACAGGCAGACCCTGTAGCATTTTGGCTCCCGGTGAAACTACCTTAAGATGTAATGCCTGAGCCCAGGGAACTGATGCCATAAAAGTGAATGAAGACCCTGCAAACATTGGCATCCAGAAAGCAGAGCTATAGTTGGTCATGTGACCTGCATCTACTTAGTGGACAGGTGACAGTATAACTATTTACACTTCTGTGCCCTCCCTGATGACGCACACAGGCCACAATTTCGTCTGGAATTTGGCAAATGTTAGCATTGTATCACAGTGTTCCAAGCTTGGTAAGAATTTACCAAATTGGCTGGTTAGATTTTGTTGTAAAGTACAGCTGATGTTAATACTTAATTGCACAATTTCTAAGAAGTAAATACATTTCTTAGGGAAGGCAGTAACGTGGACTGGGCCAAACATCTGGTGGAACTTGATTGGTCTTGCAGCTTTTGTCCACACCAACCATGTTCTTTACCTGCTGTAATATGAGTAGCTTCTTTCTAATTAAAAAAAATATATTTAAACTTTGTGTGGACAATAGTGGGTAGAGTATACCAATTATTTGTCTCCCCCCATCCAGACGGCCTCACCTGTTGTTGAGCACCTCAATTATCTGGGGGGTTTTTTATTTGACTTGTTATCAAGCCTGGGAAAGGGGGCCAAATCAGTCCATGTGCTGACAGGGGGCATGCTGATAGGAGGAGAACGATAAAGAGATGAAACGATAAAGAGGTATCATGGAGCCGGCTTTAACGCCAATCAGGAAGCCAGACGGGATGTAATCACCTGCCCTCCAGGCTTCCTGATTGGCTAGAAAGCCGACCCCATGCTTCCTTGTCACCACCTGGTGACTTGCCACCTGGCTAAACAGGAAGCTGGGTGGTGAGTCATTACACGCCGCCCAGCTTCCCTAATGGGACTTCCGGTATCGTTATTTGGTATCGGCGAGTACAGGGAAAAAAATATCAGTACTTGTACTCGATACCAAAAAAACAGTATTGGTGAATCTCTAATTAAAACCATAGAAAGTGGGTTGAATGATGCTGCCCCTCATTCAACCCATAAGGTTGAGGACATCTAGTGGCAGCAAAGAAGTACTGTGTGGAACAGCTTCAGATTGAAGGTTAACACTTCATCAAAAGCTGCTTTAACTTGGTCTTTAATTTAAGCTTTGGTCTGGCCACCCACTTTCCTGGTACAAAATTTAGAAATAGCTGGTTAAAGAGAACCAACTTGTGGAAAAGCCAGTGACCAATCTAGACTCATTAAAAATACAGTGGCGTTACATCAGGAAAAAAAAAGCCATCCTGATTGTTGGTTCTTACTGTTTTCTGTGCCTTTAGATATCATAACATACACATAAGAATCCTAGACACATTGATGAAACACACTTATGCCCCACCACATCTGCCAATTGGCATAACTAGCTGTAATGGGGCTTATTTCATTACCAAAAGCAGCCTCTGTGGTACCAATAGCACCAAATGTTAGCTTTTAAAAGGTAATATCTGATTGATTTCCATGGTTTGCACAGCATTTTGCTTGCTTGCTGTAGTTTATTAAAAATGTCTGCACCATTTAGAACTGAAATGTAACCCTAGTATGCGCATTGTAAAAACAAGGGTGTAAAGCTTTGCTTAGTGATCTGTGAGAGATCTATGAGAGCTACGCTTGGTGACCTTTTGAGAATGCTGGGAGCCAGGCTATTATCCTGATCCAATGGATTCCGTATTTTCTGAGTTACTTTCCTGAATTATATATGGAGAAGAGAAAAGTCAGTAAAAAGCCATACTTCCATATCCACACACTTGTTCGAGGTTAATTACTCATACTAATACAGGCTAATTATTTAAACCAAGAGTATTGACATGGTGGCCGAGCAAGTAGTAATTTTAGAAAGAGTGGTCAGAAGAAGCGGGCCTCCATGTTTCCCACGTTTGGTTTAATCATTGAATGTAAACTTAATGAGACACACTTATAATAGCCTCAGTGGAAAAGGGTGGGTAGAAATGAATAGCATGAAGAGTAGATCATGACTCTGGGTTCCCTAAGACTATGTACATAGCTTATATCAAGTCGGAGACAGCAATTCCAAAGTGAACCGCCAACAAAATTACAGCAGACTGGCAAAGCACCACACACTTTTTACTGATCTCAAAACATCTTGGGGGCTTCCAAGACCTGGACACATGCTTCCTGAGATCCTGACCGTTGCTCTAACTCAAACATCTGGCCCAGTCCCCAGCTTCCCGCAATACATTAGGGCACCTTTCATTTGGCCAATGGGGCTACTGTGTTGTTTTGTGTGACTCAGAGGGAGGATGCTGCCCGCTTTGCTGGGGTGGTGTTAGTTTCTAAGTTTGCATAGTACAGCTTTGTTCATACCATGGGTTTATAACCAACATCCACCCTAACCATGTTCTCAAAACTAGTTCCTAGTGAATGAATAGGTTGCTTTCTCATAAATATTAGCTACTTCACTTTAAAAAGGACCTGACCCTTTTTGGAAATGTTATAATGTTTAATAAAAGGAATAAAATCTCCTGATATACATTAATTGCCAAAAATAGATATTTTCCAAGCTATGCCCTTCCACAGTAACAGTTCGCCTGACCCTAAGTTGAGAATTATAATCATGGAGTCCATTTAAGAACTCCCTCTTAAGCAGGAGGACTAAGTAGATGCTTAGTTTACTGTATATTGTTCCTTCTAACCACCCTCATCCTCCCTAGTAAAGCCATCTCTTCATCCTTTCCATTCCTCTCCTGCCTGACATCATTCTGGCAAACTTAATTCACAGAAGGAGAGAGAGATATCAAGATGAGGAGTAAAGGGGCTGCAAAAAATCACCTGTCCGCTGTTGTGTGAACTTTCTGCTTCTAGCTATTACCTCTGACTGGAGTTTATATCAGTATCCTATCTGTCATGGTGGACATTAGTGAAATGGGAGTAAAGTTAAGCATTTTTGGGCATTTATTTACTTTTGTCTAGAAAAAAAATGACGTAGATTAGGGCTAAGATGTAAGATAAGAGGTATATAAGAAGCATGTTGTAAAATAGATACCGTGGCCCCTCTCTTGGCCAAAAGTTAAGCCAATTGTTTCGATGGAAGGATAAAGATCTTGCACTTAAAAATGTCACAAATGACTAAAGCATGACGTTAGCTCGTACAATGGTGACGGGTCCTCTTTAAATAAGCCTTCTCATACTTTCTTGGTTTGGTTTCTTCTCTAACATTTGCATGGAATGCTGTTTTGACTTGCAGTGCAACCTGTTCTGAAAAAAAAATACATTTTTATATATCGATATATATATATATTGCATTTTAAACCCAGGGGACTAGCAGGTTTTATTTTTTTGCATGTGCTTTCCCTTAGACTCTGGCTGCTCTAACAAGAAATTCAATAAATCTGCTTCCAAACCATCTTGCACAAGCTTTGCATGTCCAATCTGGGCCTGAGGAGATTAACAAGCGAATAGAGCACACCATCGACTTGCGGAGTGGAGATAAGTTGAGAAGAGAGCATATCAAGCCTTTCTCACTGATGTTTAAAGATTCCAGCCTGGAGCACAAGGTAGCTGGGGCTCTGCTGACTCACTTCCATGTTCATCATTGTCTCAAATGTCCTCGTGTTGGTGGAGGTGCACATGTGTAGACATCATGCTGTGAATGAGTGTAGAGGAGGAGGTTTTGAAGGTTTAACTATGAAGGTTTTTGGTGTATACAAACTTTCTTAAGGGTTCAGTTGTAGAGTCAATTATTGTGTTAGCAAATGTTTAATGCGGAAAGTTTGGAGTTTTATGAGATACTCTTTATGGGTTTAAAGTGTATCTAAGGCAAAAATATTTTTTAGGGATTATAATCACTTTGCTGTCTATGTGTACATATTAAGATGTAGGATGTAACATCCAATTCTATAATAACTGCCAAAAGAACCTAATGTGTTCCCCTGAAAGCTTTCATCTTTAAAAACTAGTTTGCCAACGAAAGGTATCATGTGAACTCCAAACTTTCTCCAAGGATTCAATACATTTCAGCGTAGCCACAAGGAAATTACCAAATAAAAATGTGTAAAACTTGTATAAAAATATCCCTTTCCCACGGAGAGTTTCGATAGTCCATACACTTTTTTTTCTCTTATTGTTTGAAGTTGAGTGTCATGATATGTGGCAGAAGGTGGGGCTTAGCAGGAAAGGGCAGGGCTTAGTTGGAACCAGGTTCCAACAGCTTCTCTTCATGTGTGTTGGCCAGGCTTGCTTCATTATAAGGACCTAAGTGCCCTAACACCATTTATGTGGCTGTGGTTACACCAGCCTTGTGTAGTCTGTGTCCATAGTTTTGTTGTCTCCAACAATATCATTAGCAGGTCACTGATTTGATTACCTCTTTTGTATTTCCTGTATTTATTTAGTGAGGATGTATTATGTAGAGTACATTGAACTATTCCCTTCAGTTTCTACCGTGAAGTAGAATGCAATCTAACATCACTTCAACACTCATGCACACTGGACAGTTTGGTACAGCACAAATTAACATACCAATATGCTTTGGGTTTTTGGAGGGAACCAAAAGACTTGGTGGAAATATATGACAACCTAGAGACAACATACATACCCAGAATCTACAGCTGCAAGGGGTTTTTTTTATGATGTGGGTGGATACTGTTAAAGCTGGCCTTAGATATTAGATGACCACTGCCTAATCTTGCTGATCAAATCCAGGACCTAAGGGTACAACGGTTCTATACAGGTGGATACTGGTAAAGAAGGCCATAGAAACTAGATGACCATTACCCAGTCTGGCTGTGTTTTGCCCAGTTGCGTGACAGTATCATGTTTGTGTGTGCCTGCAGACAGCAAGGCCTGAAAGGTCTTAAGGTAAGAAGACAAAGAGGTTAGAAATCCTTGTCTAGGGTTTGTCTTTCACCCAAGATAAGAATGCTTTGTGGGTGTTTGCACCTTTATCCCTTTTCCTCGTTCTGTATCATAGATATAGGCATCTGAAGCAGCTATGTTTTTACCTGAAGCTGGGCCATAAGACATAGTCAGACAATAGGATGAAGCTTGTATATCCAGTGGTCCTTTGATGTTTATGACCAAGTCGAGTTTAACTAGCCATTGGCTTCTTCTGTCTCTTGGACATTTGAAATCTCTAAGCTGAAATCCTAGGACTGTTTAGCCATCTCTGTTCGAGTTCTCCTTTTTTCTGGGACCATTCCGGTGGAGATATGGCTGCTAAAGATAAGCAGTCAGCTGGTGATGTGGTTCTGGTGTTTCAGTTCAAGGCTAGCTCAAGTTCTCTTTAAGCTTTACACTCATCCTGTTTGCATTGTACATAGGTTACTAGAAAGATGTAGCAAGCATGTAATTCATGAAAAAGTGATGCAGCTGTAGATCAAAAACAGGAGACAGAAAGTTATATATTATCATTCTGTTTTTTGTATTGTAGCTTGCAACAGAACATTGTTGCAAGTGATGTGTGACACTGTAACTTAACCTGACGACTTAACCTTCTAGACCTGCCAGGGTAACAGATACATAGCAACAGTGGATGGTGAAGCTTCCAAATGCAAGAAGAAAGTCAGTGCCTACCTTCCCTACTCTTGTGAGTAAGGCTTTGGGCACATGGGCGTTTTCCTTCATTTTAATTTTTTGTGAGCTGTGGTGGTGTCTGATCCTTAACATCCCATCATCCAACTGTGGAGGGGCAGTCATGATTTATTGCATTCAGGAAAGAGTGGATCCTGGTTATTTAAAGTTAAGATTTATTTACCTAAATATGGGCCACGTGAGGAAGAACTTGTTTATTGGCTTGGCTTAATCATTTAATCTTACGTTTTTTATTTATAAAAGTTATGCTTGCTGCAAACACTACAGGGTCAAATTGATCTTTCTTTAGTTTATGATTTGTTTTGCTCCAAGCAGACACATGAACAGCCTATGTGGTAATCATCTCCTTGTTTTTGGTATTGCTAAATGGGGGTCTACTTTTTGATTGGAGTCCTTACTGGTTAAGGTGTATGTACAGTATAGCCAAAACTTTTTTTTAGGTTTTGGAAAGAGTAGAGTAGAATTAGAACACCTGCCAAGTTTTTCTTTCTGTATGTGCCTTTGATGGGGAGATTCAGCCTCTTTATTTTTCTTGAGGTCCATGATTATCACTGGGACGGAACATGATAGGAAAGCAAACGCTTACAGTTATTACCAGAACAGTGGGTGAGGAGGAATCTTCCAATTGGGACACCTGTTCCGGCATCATTATAGATTTCCTCTCACTCCCTGTTGTCTCTTTAGAATAGTAATTAAAGGAAAATATCCTCAAGGTTTTAGTTCTTCATACACTTTAAATCTGAACTCTGGTCTTTCCATTAGTCTTGAACAGTTGTACAGAATTCTTAACCAGGGGGTACTTCAAGCAGAAACATTTTTGTTAGATAGAAGCTTGGTAAAGTAATCTCTAAATAGTCTAATATTTTTATTTTGGCTTCCTCTCAAGTAACTTTTTGAGTAACTAAGTAACATTGAGCCCTCTGGAGAAATTATGGGCTCATTAACGAAATTTCAAAGAAGGAGGATGCCCACCTAATAAGTGTGATGATGTACCTACTATCCCCCTTTGCACCACATCAATCCCAACATCAGGATTGCCAACCTACCATAGGGTTTAAAACATCAAGTCCTTTTAACTATACTAATATCTACCTAAATATTATTTATTCACTAAGCCTGTTTGAATTCTGGGTCTAGCAATGGTAAAGTCTGAGAGTGAAGCCGAGTTTGTGTCCTGTAGTAATTTTTTTAGCCATCAAGTATGGGATGGTATGGGGAACAGCCAATTGTCCATCACTGGAGCAGAGGGGTCTATGATGTGATTGGGAAGCTCACTCACCTTGTTTGGCCATTAATGTTTCCTTTTATTTGATCAAAATATCTGAACAAATTTCTGAAATTTGATCTATTACATCATCAATGCCTAATACCCAACAATTAAGAACCGGCATGTGCCCTGATCTGCCAGATACAGTCCGTGTACCCATCTCACTCAGAGCCGCTGCTCCAAAAAATGGAGGGTGAGTTTAGCAGGTGTCAGCGGGTGGCTTCCGACAAAATATCAGTAAAGGATGGACACCGGCACTCCAAAGCAAGTTCAGTACGTGTTTATTAACATACTAGTTGCAAGTAGAACACTCTATAGTGTTCTACTTGCAACTAGTACGTTAATAAACACGGTAATAAACACGTACTGAACTTGCTTTGGAGTGCCGGTGTCCATCCTTTACTGATCTGCCAGATCTCACACTTAAACCAGACTTTGTGTGTTCAGAACTATTTTGGATGACCAAGTAGGGATATTTGGCAGGTACATAGCTGTTTTTTTTAATTTGCAAGAACATTGGTTGTGTGAGTTTAAGGGGGGA